CGCAATGATGCAAGGGATTCCTCAATAGACGGCAGAGCCTCCGACGATCCTGCAGATTGCTGCGGTGTATTCTCCGGAGCAGTCTCGCTTACTCTTGACGTATGGATCTCGTACAAATGATCAGATTCCTCTAGAAACGATAGGCAGATTTAGACTAGATCAAGAATGGTTTCACGTATCAAAAATACTATTCACCATTGAATGAAACCATAAAAATTTTATAAACATCGTCACACAAGCAGTTTCACCACCACAAACACATCCTTCACAGTCATGAACCAGTGAAAATGCCTTGCTCTAGGTATATAATGAGTTGAGGCATTTACACAGGTTCAGAGAAAGGAGCATCTTCATGTAAATTTAAGACAATAGAATATCTGTTGACTGGAACAGTGACTATGAGAAAGCGTCGCCGTACCTATGAAATTATGACCAGTTTATTTTTCAAAATACTAACCAAGTGGGATCTCCGCAACGAGCCGACTTCCTCCAGGTGATGAGGTGGACGGATTACGCTGGGCATTCGTCAGATCACACGTTACGCAAACACGTACTCCCTGACGATCCTCCATCAAAATTCCCTTCAAAAAAGTGGTAATGCAACAAGGAAAGAACACAGCCACATACTTGAAACAAAAATATGACTTCATGGCCTCAAAGTTCAACAAATTTCGTCGATTTCCAAACATTAACCAATTTGATTTCATCGATATCCCTCATTCAACTGGGTAGAATCATCGCTTTCGTCATATTGTCGAAATGAGTTCGTTCAAAAAAAGTTGAGGCACATAAAACTCATAAGTCTCCAGATAAAAGATATACACACCATACACGTCCATCATCCATATGGGATAAAAATAATACGAAATTTACCGTGCAAACATTGCAATACGCGTCCAACATTGTATATCCACGCAACAGAAGCTCACCCATTTTGGCGGATACCTGATCGAGAAGCTCACGCCTTGCGTTAGCAGCCGCATCGAACTCTTCCTGAAAACATTTGTGAATATTCACTCGAAGAAATGTAAAAAGTCAATTGAACAGTATAACAGAAAACAGCTGAAATTTTATCCGTGGCTCACAATCAGGATTTTGATAATTTTTTGAATGTA